TTCCGAATCCTGTAATCCTGCTGGTCTCCATGTGGATAAAGGTGTGTTTTAGCCAATGAAGTGTGTAAATGTCTGATGGCACATTAAATCTTTCACTTTTCTTTCACAGTACACCCTTGTACTAATTTAAGTTGCATGATTCACATTTAATTTTCATATTCCCTTTCTCCGGTGAAGTTGTGTGTCATAAATAGGCAATAATATGAGGTGTAGGTGGCCCAACAGATTCTAGCAAAGAAGAACCATTTGGCAACAAGTGATAGGTATTTATAGCCAGTTATTCTGTAGGGCACCTGACATCCCGATCACGTGACACTGGCAGTTCTTGGCTATGGCCATTTGTCTCGGTGTTCCAGTCCGAGGAATTGCAGTTAGGTGGTTTCTTATGTGCTTTGTGTTTTCTGTTATGATTTATGTTATATATATGGCTCTTGATACCAAAGATAATTAATTAAGATAGGGAATTTAAGTTTGTATGTGTTTTCTTTTTGTTGGTGTAAATGAGAAAGGTTCTTACAAGATTTGAAAGCTGTTTGTGGATTTTGTAGAGAAAGTAATGAAAGTGTCTGAATTAGTAGTTTCCATTTCTCTTCAAGCATATTAGATGCATACAAAGATCTAGGAATATGCAACCAGAAAAAAAATACACCACACAAAGAAAAGGGTAATAAATTTCCTTTCCATCCCAGTTCATTGATTTATAGTGTTACAAACTAGTTGTTTTTTGTTTGTTTTTTCAATACAAGCAATTTATTTGCAACCTCATTGTTTGTTGACTTTTATTTTATTACGCATCTTAACTTCTCTTTTTTGAGAAGTAGTTTCTTGCCATATTTTGTTGATTTCATTTCTTTTCTATTTTGGATAGTACTTTCTGTCATATATTTGTTCTCCTTTTTCTTTGTAAAATAGCTTCTGTTAGTCCTTTTCTTCTCAGTTCTTTTATTCCTCAAAGACCAGTTGTATCTTTACCTCTTATTTCTTCTCTTTAGCATCTTTGGACCTTCTTAGGAAGATTCATCAAAGGTCAGTAAATTAATCAGTGCTGAAGAATAGTAAGGAATGAATAGCAGAGGCTTTACAAGTTATCTTTAATAGCAGTCTGTTTTTTTCTCTCATTTCTTTTTTTCTTTCCATAAGTTTTGCTAAGCATCATTTACAAGTGGAATAGAATATATGGTTTACTAATTTGAATTGTCATAAGGTAGTTTTCTCTTGATACGACTGTTTATCTATTTGTTTGCACTAGACATTTCCTTTTTTTTCTCTCTCTTTTAAAGGAATGAATGAATTGTCAAGTCTTCCATAAACAAGAACATTGTATTTAAGAGTGTCAATGAAAGTATTGATGACATGCAAGTTTTCAGGAATTGTGTATCAACAGGATGATGCAAATATTTCCAATACTTCAATGAAAATATGAAAGCTTGTGAAGACTTGTTTTGCAGCTTAGTTTTCCATTCCTGCTTTTTATTTTATTTTTTTATTTTTTTATTTTATTTATTTATTTATTTATTATTTTTTTTTTTCTTAACTTCCTTTTTTATCTGAGTCACATGCAAGAAAGTTTTGTTGATGGTGCTTCAAGCCACAAGGAATGGAGAGACAGCAGCAGGAGAAATACAGGCTGATCAGATGCCCTTTGTAGGTGCTAACCTGAAATTTTGTAAAAGGTCAAAAAGGATTATATTTAAATCTCACAGAATTACAGGAGAGATTTTGCTCAAACGTGTAAGAAGAAGTCCCAGAGTATGTGAAATTTCAGACTGAAAAAAAATTTCTGATCCATAAGTAGCTGTGTGTGTTGAGATTCTTGTCAACAAGTAGGGTATGTCTGACTGTACCGGCAGTGGTGGAGAGATTTGATGATGAAGATTTCCGGGCAAAGCTCAAATTAGGCTTTGTGGAAGTGTTTCTAATGGTAGTGAATAAATAGTGTGACCAAATGTATACTACTAGTTCTACTTAATAAACAAGAATATTTTTGTGCTTTTGTGCAATATGAAAGACATTATACTGGTCCGTGTTCAGTCTTTCAAAGTAGCCCATAAAATATGCTGATTGAAAATACTTAAGGTTTGCAGTAGCAAAGTGTGAAAACATTTTTGAATACTGTTTTTTGATGATATATGTGTTTAATAATTTATATATGTAATTGATAATATGGCTTAAAGGCCAGTGTAGAAATGCTATACTGCTGTAATTGGCAAAAAGTAAAAGTACTCTTCCAAATCATAAAATAACTTGCCTCAGGGTTTATGCACACCATAAATATTTTTCTTTCACGTTTAATCACTGTATGTATGTAATTATACTATAAAGATGAAGAACTACAGAGATCTTCCATTCAAAGGACAGTAGCAAATTTTATGGTGTTGAAGGAAAAAAGGATCTAGACCAAACCCTTAATCATCACCCAGTATAAAGACAGTGCATACAAAGGTGAAATATAACTGAATTGAACTCTTTTAGTCCATCTGGAATCATTCAATTTAACCTAGTCATGATGGACACCCCCAGTGCCATATCAAACAACCCATCAGGGTTCATGCAAGGGTCATCTGCTCAAGAGAAAAACCAGCAGCATGGGGGGAAAAAATTGCCCCAATCTCTATGGTCTTGGTGTAGCATAATTTTTTTTCATCTTTTCTTAGGTAATAAGGCTAAAAAGAGGGTTACTTTCTCCTTAAAGAGTGTAGTTAAAGCCAAACATCTGCACAACAGTTTAGTGTGCAGAAGTTAGAGCAGATTTGACTATGCATGACATGAAGATATCATTCCAGTATGAAGGGTGGTTCTACCATGTGATTTGACATCATTGGCATGTTTGGTTTAAGAGGGACTTCTTATGTGTGTCAAAACTATAAGACAAGTTGCTTTATGGCAGGAAGGTGTGCAGCCTAACTTTTATTACTGTGCAATTTAGGCAATCATCTTAGCCAGACATTTGAGATAAAAGCATGAGTTTTTATTGAGGGACTTTAAAGTCTAGTGGTAATTTAGATGCCATTTGTATTCATAAAATGGTTTATTACCCTACTTCCTTCCTTCCTTCCTTCCTTCCTTCCTCCCTTTCTTTCTTTCTTTCTTTCTTTCTTTCTTTCTTTCTTTCTTTCTTTCTTTCTTTCTTTCTTTCTTTCTTTCTTTCTTCTTTCTTTCTTTCTTTCTTTCTTTCTTTCTTTCTTTCTTTCTTTCTTTCTTCTTCTCTCTCTCTCTCTCTCTCTCTCTCTCTCTCTCTCTCTCTCTCTCTCTCTCTCTCTCTCTCTCTCTCTCTCTTCTCTCTCTCTCTCTCTCTCTCTCTCTCTCTTTCATTTTCTGTTTCTGGTTAAGAAAGGATGGGGTGTAGATATGTATTTGCAAACATTAAGGATAATTGCCATATCCCAGCGCATCTCAGACATCAGATTTAGGACGTGGATGTGTTGCCGTGAATAGTTAAGCAGATGTGTAGTGGCCATTGGGCTTGTGCTAGGAACTGTGCGGGATGTATTTCAGATAGAAGAAATTGAGACTTAATTCTTAGTGTTTTCTCTCTTTTTTATGATGCGTAGGAAACATTCTCCACAATACCTGTCCATTTGAACCGTAGGGATACAGTTCAACAGTATTTTGTTCTTGTATTTGGGCAGTTTTTTTATCTTCTTTTTCCCCACATTTCCTATAGGAACATGATACCTCAGTTCATTTATGCAATTACCATTTTTTTTCTGTACTAAGAAAGAAATTAACTTGAATAAGTAAAAGCTAAAAGCTAGAATATGAACTATAATCAAGGGCAGATCAGGTCTCTTACTATAGGACAAGTGTTACATGCAACATTGATCTTGTGCAGACATTCCAAGTGATTATTGTGCATGGTTATTTTTCTTAAAGGGTCTTGTACTGATTGTACATAAGTGCATCTATATATATATACAAGTGGGCAACCATTTGTACATTATTTTACAGGTATAAGACAGTTGTGCTTCTAGATGCAGGCACATTTTTTATTATTTATAAATCTTTCTGTAAAGTAAAATTAAGGAATAAACATTTCTTGCAAAGCAGTTTTTTAAGTTTTGTTAAATAATTAATTTGCCTGGCTTTTTTTTTTTTTTTTTTTTGTAATACTTAAGTGGTACTATGTGTTGTGATACCTACCTATTTATCTGTCATTGTTATTTCTATGTTGTGTTCCCTTTTGCTTTAATCAGATGAATTCTACACTTATTAGATTGTATCATAATTTATCTTACTCTTCTTAACAACCCTGCAACTCATTCCTTTGTTTTGCACATCAATTGCCGAGCCTATAGGGGTTGTGATACATTTCAAAACACAGGTAATTTTGTGTTCAGTTCCTTTTGATACTTACTTTTTGATATAGTAAAGTAAATGCTAGGATTTCATAAGGCTTGACTTCCTATTTTACATAGTATATTTTCTGGAAGCAATATGAAATACATTTTGCCTGCAGTTTATAGTCTTTCTCTCTGATGTATTCTCTGTTCTCGTTGTTTAGCATTAGGTAACATTTATAGTTAGTAATATTTAGGTGGTTTCTGTTATGTCAGTATTGGACAACTTTTTCATAGATTAGAGGAATGTAATTTGGAAGTATTGCTTTTCATCCTTTTTGTTTAAAGGAACTTACTGATTTCTATTCACTTTACAATATGAAATCATGCAATCTAAGTTGTATATGTATACTTTGCTTTTCATTTGATCTGATTAGTCGTGACATCATTTATTTTATTGGCCTTTTCATTGATTGATATTATTCTTACATAAGCTGCAGTTGAAGATGTATTTGATATAGTGATACACACAAGCACTCCCGTTTACATCCATTTCACAGGAACAAGTGCGTGCGCACACATACTCTCTCATATGCTCATCATCATGTCCCATTTTCACACACAATCTCACTGTGATACACACAGTCTGAATTCACAAACTCATTTTCTTCTTTGCCTGCCCCTTCCTATCTCTTTACAAAGTAATTGTAACTAAAAAAACAAAAAAAAAACAAGTACTTGTGTGTGCATGTGAGGATGTATTATGTATAAATATTTTTATTATTGAGATTTTCTTAGATTTCTCCTATTTGACAAAAAAAAACAATGTGTAGCCTATCAAAACAAAAATATATATATATACACAATGTAACTTGTCAGCATTGCAGATGTACTTGATATAATGAACATTAATTAATATCATTCAGTGTATTTTGATTTAGATAGCCTTTTTATGTAGCAGTTTAAAGATATAAAAATTGACAGCAATTTTTCTTATCCTTTTTCAAAATGTGTCATTTGCTTGTTAATATAACTGATTTGCAATCTCGCTCCTCATCTTAGAAGCTAATAGCTAACAGTTCTAGTAGCTTTGTTCTTTTCTACTTATTGGTTTCCATTTTCATCAAAAGCATTCTCAAAAAAATATTTATAAATAAAAAGGGTTTTAATATATGTGCAACATTAGCAAACAAATAGTAAAGCTGTTTCAGTGAAAATTTAATCTTGATTCTTGCAAGGTATGTTCAATAAAACTATAAATTAATAGCAAGGTTGAAAAAAAAATACCAAATGAGATTATGAAGAAATCAATAATGATGTAATCTTTAATAAATATAACTACTGAAATGTAAATGCTTTTATAGGTGTTTAGAAGATAAAAGGTTGAAGGTTGTAAGGCAAAAAGGAAAGCATAAAAAATCTTGTTCGGATGCTCAATTCAGGAGGAAGAGAAAAGCTATAGGAGTGAGAAAGATTTGGAGCTGTCTGTATAG